AAAAGCACTAGCACCAGCTGTAATGTCTGTCTATAAAGATAGGAAAAATATATTTCCTCAGTCCAGCAGGTTTCAAACAACATATTTTCAGGTTACGGGAATGCTGGCCAAGAGAAATTTAAATTTGAGGTGAGAAGTGAGGGACAACATTTCTTCTAAAACGTTGTAAGCTACTGCCTTATAAACTTAAAATGATCAACAAACCTGACAAATGAGCAAACATTATGAATATTCAGGCTGCTTAAACTGCTGATTCAATGTTTTCTAAGACTGTACAACTTTTGCACTGATCACATAAGCTATTATTTTTCTTTTCATCATAAGTGCACTTGACTGTGGTGTCGGTGTGGCGTTGCAACATATGCATTGAAGTATTGTAATTCATACAGATGGCAGGAAGCTTTCAAATTGTTAATTCTATAGTACAGATGTTTACAATTTAGCCATATGTCTCCAGTAAAGGAGTCTTTTCAAAGATGACAAAAACTGCATTAGACACATAACCTTGTAAATGTGAATGCAATCCTGAGGTAGGAATTTTCTTATTACTAAAATATGAAAACGTGCCTTGTGCTAGGAAGTTTGCATGTCTATTCAGAAATACACAATTTAGGGAACGTTATTTAAAATCTCTATAGAAATCAACTCCCAAATTGATATAATTTCACTATTAAAATAACATTCCACATTGTCTTTCAAATTCATGAAAGGTGTCAGACATGAGCTGGTTGACAGGAAGGGCAAATAACTACAGGCAAATACAATAATGTCCCGCAAGTGAGGCCTGAGTGAACTGCCACTGCAGATGACAGACTAAGATGCAACCAGTGAGACCAAGAATTTCGCCATAAAAAGAGCTGTCAAAGAAACCACGGAGCCCTCATGATGGTTGTGGCACTTTTTCTGTGGAAAGCTGAATGTTGAGAAACAATCTGAGATCAATAATATCTCAACCACGAAAAGAAAGAACCATGAAATGCTCAATTTATAACAACTGAATTTTGCCTAGTTTGAATGACAGATAAATGGCACCAAATAAGATTGTTAAATCACTAATCCTGTCACTTTTAAATCCTGTCACATTGCCTAGATTTATACATTAGAAAGAGAACGTATGGCATGGAAGTCAAAAACAGTAATGTTAAAAACTAAAATACTCTGAATTCTGAAGAAATGTGAATTCCCAACCTTGAGTTACTTTTTTTCAGGATAGTTTTTTCTACCAGAGCTGGATATAATTTGATGCTCTTTGCTGTCCCATCTTCCCTGCTCCTGATGTTTGGGTCTCTGACCCTTTGTTACCTAGACCAAACTTCTCTTTTATATAAATCTGTAGTGCACAGAATAAGATTAAAATGGACAGACTGAACAAAGCCCTGGTCTTTTTGACAAAAAGATTTCCATTTAGTCCATAGGGTCTCTTTCCACCTGATGTATTTTTAAAGGAAAATATTCAATTAGCATCTACTCAAAGGGCAAATCTACAAAAGAGCCTTGCAATATTCTTCTTTTTTAAGCAGCAAGAAAGTATTCAGAGATGCTTTATCTACCAGATACTAATCTAGGCAGGATAAATTTAAAACATCCTTATGAAAATCCTGAAGGGTAGTTGAACCCTGTGGTTGTTAAAATAAAATAAAAAAAAAATCTGTGGTTTATGCATTTGCTTTGCCAAAAGCTCACCATAGCAAATAAAGTACAGTAAATCATAGCTGCCCTGATTTACTACCAAGAGCATATTGTTTGTTTTCAGAGAGAGCTCAGTGAAAAGCTAAGTCATGTATAAACACATTCAGAGAAGGAAAGAGTCATTTCGCAGAACTATCAGAACAGCAGCGACCATTTCTAAGACACCAATGGAAGGAAAACACAGATGTATGTCTGCAGAATTTTTCACATTCATTTGTTTTGCTTTATTTTAAATATTATATACCACTGAAAAATATTTCAGGTCTTTGTAGGCACAAAGGAGACTTTGTACCTCAAAACCACTTAGCCGAGGGACCAAAAGGCTGCACAGATTTATAATTCACCTTTAAAAATTAAGAGTTATTTAATCTGTGTCTAACTGCCACATTTCAGATGGCAGTAGCATAAGGAGATACTAAAAGGTACCAGAGAAGGAATGGCAAAGCAAAACGTTCTGGGTTAACCTGATCATTTAGAACAAAATAAGGTAGATTTTATTAGTGTTAATCCATTTAGGAAATCCCAATAAGAGGACAAAAGAAAAAAATAAAATACTTATGCCTGATAAGCCTTTAAAAAGACAGTAAGCAAAGTGGGAAAAGATCAAAACAGTAGCTGAAAGCCTTCACTCCTGCTTTAAAATCTAAGAAAGAGTCATTAATAGAGATTTAAACTCAGCCTTCACTAGTCTAAACATGTCACTGTTAATTACAAAGCTATTTAACTTTTGCAAGAAATAAAGGTTGCTATTAATGAAAGAAGAAGCAATTAGCCTTTACTCTACACTGTTTTTTTAATCAAACTTTCTTTTGATCATCAGCCTCACTGCGGGATGCGTTCCCTCCTCCCCGGCTCCTGTGGCTCCCATGGCTGCTAATGGAGGCGATGCCCGAGGGCCAGCCGAGCGCAGCGGAGCCGCTGGCGCCCGCGGGAAGGACTCCTGCCTCCACCCGGCTGCACGAGCGGGATGAGACCCGGGGGTCTCCTGCCCCTTCTCTGGTAGCATCTGCCATTAGAGCAACAGGCACTGACCTTGGCTAGAGGAACGTGGGACCTCTTAGACTATCTTAGACTTAGACTTCTAAGACTATCGTAGAAAAATTAGAAAAAAAAAGAAAGAGTTGGGAGAGGGAAGCTGGGGAAAAAGAAAAAAAAGGGAAAGGCCGCAAGGAATGGAAGGGAAATTCACTGGTGACAATAGAGAATGACTAATGGGAGAAGCTGCTTGCTAGAGAAGGAACATCTCTCTAAAAATAAAAAATAGAGGGCCAGGGCTTGATACATTACACACAAAACAGATGAGATGGGAAAGGGAGGGATCACACTATCAAAATACTTTTGTGTCTCCAGACTGCTCTTTGCAGGGCTGGAGGTTTGTTGGCTTGTTTGTTTTGCTGGTATTTTTTAAAGAACGAGGCTTCTTGCAGTACCAGAACAGTAAGACCAAGTACACTACTGTGTAACATGATAGAGAACTACCACTTACCAGCACTCCCCTCTTGGGCACATTTGCTGCTCAGACCTCTCAGGAACAGAGATACATGGAAAATATTCCTCAGGTATTTTCACTTTAGATTCACTTTGCAGTTATGACCATGGAAATAATGAAATAGAAGAACTTGACTCTGACACGTGTTAATCACGGAGAGACTTTAAGTATCGTCTGTACTGTGTCTAACATGAAGCTGTTCTGCATTAGCAGACCTTTAGCGTGTGGTGCAGACTGCTCCTTCTCCATAATATAAAGACAAGTTGTGCTAGGTAGTGCCAGGGAATAATACGAAAGGAAAAAGCCCCTTAAAATAAATGTTAAGATCCTGTATAGAGTAGGAACTTCTGCCTTCTCAAAGAATCAGAGAGTCTGCAAAATTTTCCTGCCGTTGCTACCAACATAGCAATTAAAAAAAAAAAAAACCAATACATTGCAGAGAGCAAAGTGAAAATAAGTATGTTCTACTCCAGACAGGATTTTGAGGCACAAAGTTTAAGGTGGTAATAATATTACGTGCAACAGCCACAACAGTGATGTTCGCATGTCAGAAATTCAAACGCAGTGCATACCTCAGCACAGGGATGATTTCAGGGAAGACAAGAGGTTCTATTACATGCTTTTCTGGATCTGAATCACACAGTGCACTTTGAAAGATCAAATTATTCCTCTCTCTGTGAATCAAGGCTAATTCTAATCTCTTATCTCAAAGGGTGGCCAACTTTGCACATTCCAAAGCCTCTTTGCGTAACTCCATAGCACAAAGGGTATTTAAAATGAGATTAGGGCTCATTCATATTTTCAATGTGCTCAAATATTATCATACAAGCACAATATAGGTACTCAAATACAAGCACTATTACAGATAACCAGATACTGCCTTTAAGCACTGTGTCAAGATATTTAAAGTTGGCTGGATATCTATCATTTTCACATTTAAATGATTCCATGTCATTCTAAAACTGTTGATGAAATCTGGATCCTAGTGAAAAACTTCTTGCTTTTCTTGGGTCACAACGCTACTCTAATGAAATGCAGACAAGAGATTTCCAGCTTCCGTTCCTCTGAGCATAGTCTAGCAAATACCTCCTGACTCAAAAAACTTAGAAAACTGCAATACCAAAAAATATTATATTAGAGTAGAGGACATTTTTAATTAGAAAAGCTCTTAGGTTTTGCTGAATGTTCTGTTTTGCCTTTTGTTGCCCTAACACACTCCAGAGCTTTTTATTTGCTTACGCAGTGCAATTAGGACAAGGCTCTTCTTCGGCTTTAAAAAGAGCAAAATTATTGATAGGAATCATATGAAACATAATAATATTTGAATGTTCTTATTACTTAAGAGTAGTAGAATCTACTCCTATGAAAGAGAAATCTACTCTCTATTCTACCCTATTCTTACAGAGTAAAGTAAAATAGCGTTAAAAAGTAATGACAGTTTCAAAATCAAGAGGCAGAAACTTTATGCCTCTTCCTAAGTTGTGGAGCAGTTCAGTCCTGAGGGTGCTATCAGCTCCCCCTATTCCTCAGCATTCACGTATACTTAGACAATCACTCCTCAAGGCAGGGTCTGATTCAAGAAGGGGAACCCACGGTCTCCCCAGTTGTTTCAGTGAAACTTTACTTATGTGCTTGCAAGGCATAGAAATGAAACACTCTGCATCTGCAGTTCTGACTCCAATCAGTGGGACCTGAAAATTCTGGGCAACTCTGAAAATAAGCCCTTATAATTGCTGTCATAATGCACCTTTAATTTGTCTACACCTCCTCCAAATAATAACTACTTTTCATTGTCACATCTGAATCAAAGCTTCATACGTACGTATACAGTAGTCTCCGCTTTCGTAATATCCAGGGCAGCACTGGGATCTTCGCCGATACATCGTTCTCAGTCCTCTCCGATAGGCTGTTTTATAACTTATTCTAAATCGCAAGACAGAAAACCATTTGACAATATTGAAAATCAATGCCCACTGTTGGAATTATATTGGTGTTAAATTACAGCACGGCTAGCATTCAATAATTATTTTAAAATGTATGAAAGCTTTTGGAATTGAAAGTCACAATAAAAAATATCAATACTTGTTTGGAAACTTGAAATATATCTTTCGTTATAAACACAGTATTCATGATGGTCCGTCACCAAAGCCTTTCCCAGGACTGCTATCTTAAAACATTGTCCCAGTCATAAAACATGGAGAAGAAGTTTCTTCCAAGAATAAAGTTGATTCACTTCTGCATATCAGCAACGGGATCAACAGGATCTTCCATGGATGCTACTGTGTCACATGCTACTCCAGAAACTACACAATGGAGCCTGTTCTTGATCTACAAAACTTGAAATTAACCCCAAAGTGATTTCTTCCTACTAGGTAACCTTTGCAAGGTATTAGTGCCTTGCAAAATGATAGGATAGTCCCAACTCAGTGCATAAAGTATGTTTCTCTTACCAGAATCCTGTAGCACAAAAACATACAAAAAGTGTTAAATGTTCTCTGTTAAATATTCACTTTCTGCTTGTGCCACAACTAATGCTATGAATAATCTCAAAATACAGCAGAATGCTTACTTAACAGCAAACACTTTGAAGTAATTTTGGTGTTAGTTTATTTGAAATTACACAAATTGAATGAAAACTATTGTCCCTCACATTGGACAAACTGACTACCTGCATTCCAAGCAATATAATGGTCCAGAAAGCTTTGTGCTCAGTCCTATACTCTGTAACACTGAAGCTAAAAACTAAAATCCCACAGCTGGATTGGAATGGTGCTGAATAACCTCTTTCCTACCAAAACCACGCGAATTTGCAGTACCAAGTAGCTAACATGCCACCTCCTCCCTGAAAGATTGCAAAGGTGGCAGATAGTTATTAGAATAATTTTCCACTCAAAATCAGGTTGAGCACAACAGCTAATATCTTGCAGCTGAGAAAAATAGGCTGAGCAGCATCAACCTTCATCCTGTGCTAAGAATGGGCCCATCTTTTTTCTACTTGATTTTCAATCCATTTCTAATTATCACTAATCTGATTGATCCCCAAATGTCAGAAGTGGGCTGCAGGAGAAAGGGAAATCTTGGAAATAATTTATACAATTGTATTTTCTAAGCAAAGGCTAAACTTTCACGTAGCTCCATGGAGAACAAGCTCACCAAACAATTACACCATCCACTGCCAAAGAAAGTAATGGGGCTGATTGTAACTTAGATTAGTCTGCTAGTCTAACTCCTAACATACCTTTTGCTTGGTGAAGCCTGGTTCTGAGGCCATGGACAACGTGTTCAAAATACAAAGGTGACACGTTGAGACCAAATTATACATAACAATGTGCTAAGAGTGTGGCAGTTATTCTGCAAATACTTCCTGCACATTTGCTGCTGTCTTAAACCTCAGCAAGGATGGTTAGATTTGGGGTACGTAAATAGATGCTTCCAGTCATGTGTGTGTAGCAAGGGGGAGGGAATAGCAAGGTGCATACACTTCAGTGGCCCCTTAAAAGACAGGCTACCATTCATCTTAATTAAATTCCATGCAAAATTCTCTTTACATCAGATGATGGCCAAAATAATAATTACAGTAAAACATCTCTCTCTTACATACTGGTAGTAGAGTACCACAAAAGCATGGCAAAGAGAAAAGCTGTATGAGGAGATGAAAAGGCAAAGTAAAATTAAAATGTCAGGGGATCAGTTCTTACCTGTGTCTAGTGCACTTGAACCAGTTCAGTATGTCAGTACATCTTGTATAATAGATCTGATCAAAAGGATGAGCATAAGATTCCTGTACTGTCACAGCGTAGCTGGGAGCAGACAAAGAAACAAAGAGAAAGGCTGTTCATTCCAACCTGAAAAGCTTTGGCTCCCTGTATATGCTACTCATCTAAATCCAGTAAGAGAAATAATTAAATCAGTGATCTTAGAAACTACAGGCCTTATTCAACATCAGAAAGAAATGGGTTTTCTGTCTTCTTCCCTCTTTTAGCTATGCTCCCAGGTGATATTCAGTATTTTGAAAATCGAAGTCAACCAAAGCTCTTCAGGGTTTTGGAAATGCTTCTAACTTGGATTCCTTAACAGAAGCAGGCACAGAGATTTCAGTCTGAGTCATGTTTGCTTTAGCAGGTGAAAAGAGCACTTTGTTAACTACACAGTGACAATTTTAAAAGAGGGAAGCACCCTGTTTTCAGAATGTCTCAAYTGCCTGCCTGCTCAGGACTCTATTTTTGCTGGCATTCCATGGTGTTAGTAAGAGCTCCCATTAGCTCAGCACTGCTGAGTCTTGCCAGCATGATGGAATCCTCACATTCCATTTTATGATGAAGGAGCATCATTACTTCAAATAATATTGGGTGCACCAATCAAATAGCATAATTTGTGAAAAGCTCAGGAGTGTTTATTTTTAAACTGCATATATTTAATCCTTCTAATTTGTAGCAGAAATAACTTCAGACTAATTGAAAATTTTAACATCATGAGTTCAGCCGTGCCTTAGATTTAGGAGCCTTTGAGATATGGCTAGAATGTGGTTATCCTTTGCACAAATGAGTAGGTAGGAGCAGATACAAGCAAAAATCAGGCATATTGTTTAAAAATCACATTCCTAAGATTTCAACAATCTCCTCCTCAAAMCAGTGCTTATTCATGGAATAGCTGCTACACTGATTATGAGGGTTACATTTAGAGTGTCTGGGCCTCTCATGACTTAGGAACACAAATCCCATCGATTTGTTCTTCTTGGTCCTTTTAGATCACTGCAGCTCCCTGTAGTAAGCGAATATATCAGTGAAGAGGCTCATAATCTAGGCTTCTGATCTGGTAACAAGTGCTACATTATCAGATCTTCAGTATCTTAGGAGAATCACACTGAAATCATTTGAGGCAGGGTCAAGACTCAGGTATTAGCTCTCTGAGTCATTCATTATATCGATTGTCTTAATCATCCAAGCGATTTCCTTCTCATCAATGAGACTGCTGATGTGACTATGTTGGGAGATGTAAGTAACAGGGAGTACCGMAATATTTGCTCAGAGGGTCTGATGGGCTTCAAATCGAAGACTGAGCTATTACTGCCCTGCCTCTGTGGCCCCTTCCAGACAAGCCAAGGTCCTAGTGCTTGTTGTCTTTGTCCTCTCTCACAGTTTGTCAGTTTGGAGGACAGAGCTTTTTACAGTTACTAATGCCAAAAAGTAAAATATTTACATGGCTCATTATGAAAAACAATAACACACAATTCTTAATTATTRTTTTATGATCTTGTTTGCTACCCAGTGCTTGCCCTAACAATCTTTTCCCTTTGATTTATTAACATCTAAGTAACAAAGTCATCTTGGTCAGTACAACCAATCAATTTTGGTATTTAATTTTTGTTTCTCCTTGATTGGGTCTCTAGGTTGCTGACTTTCTTCAGACAAAATCAATATTTTATTCCTGTGCTCTGAATGCACTTCTCACCACACAGACTGCAAAATCTTACTCCTGCAAATGTAGTCTTTGCTTTGCAGTCGCATGACCTACAAGCAGTTAATTCTCTCGTTAAGGCTTCTAAAATGAGAACATTGAGCTATTAAACTATGTATCCATGTTTCCTCTTGTTAAAGGGCTAATTTTTCTAACACATACAGCATCTCATATCTGTGTGAAATTAATCCACAGAACAGAACTGGAAATTTAGCAAGTTCAACTTTAGAGTGCTGCAACTTTCGCCTCTGCATGAATGTGAATCAAAGCTAGTGGGTTTCTGTGTGTTTGTCAGAGCTGTCTTGAGCAGATCTACTTTTTGGACTAGAACATTGTAACAATAAAAGAAACAGAATTACCAGGGCCTTTAATTCTCAGTGCTTTCATGCTGACACTCTTTGATGCTGACAGGAGTTTKGCAGATAAAGTCACAAAGTTCAGGACACACAGTATAAACCTGCACGTTGCATCAAGAAAGGCTTAAAACTTAGTCCTAGTATCTAAATCACACTCAGCAACAACTTCAAAATAAAAAGGAAGACAGAACAAGGCCACGATTTMCTTAGGTCTCTCCATGATAAATGGAAAGATGCTGGTGCAGCCCTTGAGCAGAAGCTGTGGAGCAGCTTCCCAGAGCAAATCTGAGAGGAGGCAACACAGCATTACATGATCTACAGCTTTAACTTTAAAACAACTCTTTAAAATGATCTGAAGTTGCTCATTATTGTTATTTCTGTCATGCAGATCAATGTTCTTTTGTGAGGTAGGGCAGAATTTAGCAAATGACTGTTCTTAGTTTGCTTTTTAAATGCACAGATCTGAAAGGGCTAATCAACCAAAAAATGGTATGTTATACGTTACCTTTCCCAATGACTACAAACATTTGGATCATCTGGATTTAGGGACAGAGTCGTTTTGAGCAGAAAAGAGAGAAAAAGCCCTTTTAGAATCCACCGGAGTAGCATATGGACCATCATTGTTGTATCTAGATAAAGAAAAGAAAGCATAGCCATTAAATACTATTAAAAATAAATAAATATATAAAGTATCTTTTTAGCTATTTTAATCTTTGGTTTTAGGCATGCCCAAACAGTGTGGAGTTGTACAAACTGAAACACATGCAAAAAAACCAACTGAATACTAAAATTAAAAAAGTGCAGATGCTACTTAAAAGGAATTTATACACTCAAAGTTACTAAAATACAAGAACGAACATTTCTGATGCTGAAGATTATTTTCAAAATAAGGTAGTTGAAACAATGCAATCTCCCATTAACCTATAGACAAATGGGAGATAAACCAAGTACCCATTTTTATTAATTTAAATGAAGTTTGCATATGTCAGTATAGTAGTAGTAGGCTAGATCTGAGACATATGCTTATCACATGACTGAAGGGAAATCAATTCACATTTTAAGTCTTATAAGAGGGAGGCACTTAGAATAATATAAGTCAATTTATTGGGTCACATCATGCATAACATTAACATGAAATAAAAATATTTGCACTGAAATTGGAAATATGTTGTATAAAAACTGATTGCCTATGGTCTCTCTGTCATCTTTTATTTCACCTATAAAACACACCAATTTGCATCTCCTGATTACTCATCCGGGCCCGTGAAACCAAAGTGGTACTGTTTGTGCAGGGGTCCCCAGTGACTTCAGTCAAAATATACAAAATAGAAAATAAGAAGCTGATTTTAACTATAGCTGCATCAGAGGTGTTAGTCTGTTAAATGTTAAGTCACATATTTTTAAATATCTATTTTAGACATTCACATCTTTATATAATCCAAAATTCTAACCTAAAATCCCATACATTAGCCTTATTCCTGACAAGAAGATTGGCCTAAAAATGGATTGAATCTTCATACGACTATCTAGCAAGCACATGGCTCATTGCCTCATGATCCAGAACAGCAAAAGGGACGTTACGGGGTTTGCTCTGCATGACACTGATGTACAACCCAGCRCAAAGAAGTCATCACAAAGCAGAATGAGCAGCCCAGGGATAGCCARGAAGGCTCATCTGAAATTAGCTTCTGATTCAAAGCCACCTAAGCCAGTTCAAGGACACCCACTGCCTTTATGGACTTGAAGTCAAATCCCCAAAGGGAGTACTAGCTTATCTTTTAAATTATTTCTACTGCTCTCCTAAGCTCAAAATTGGTCTTAAAGTCCATGTTAATTAACTTTAATATGACTTACATGATTTAAATGTTAACATTTCTCATGAAATTAAGTCTAGGAGTGACTGTTTTCTATGTGGAAGCTGTTTCAAAGCCTCATGGTGTCAACGCAAAAGCAAACACTGGAAATTAGGGCTGAAAAGGATATGAGATTTACTTCTGCTCATTGAAGGGACGTTAGCTACACTTGTCCCAGACACCACCTCTGCATGGAGGAAAAGTGTCTGCGAGGGCTTGCAGGATAACAGCCTAACAACCCCGATGTTCAAATCTGCTCGAGTTTAGCACTTCAGACTTGAGCTATCCTTTAATGTAACATGTTCCAGTATCTGTGAACCACCAAATATGAGCCCCATCAAAGTGACAGTCCTTTCACAACAGTACCTTCAAAAGAGCCACTTAGCATACTACCTTGACTAACTATCATTTGAATAAAGCCAAACATCAGAGAATGGGTTCTAGCAAGCACTATTTTTGCAGTTTGCAATTAACCCTGTGTCAATTTGCCACACATTTGATAAAACGCAAGGGTGAACAAATACGACTAGAGAAAAGACCATTTTCAGTCAAAAGAAATAGCCATAGGAAGAGCAAGGCTGCTGAAGGAAGTGCAATCTGCAAGAGTTTGCTTGTTTGTTTTCTTTTTTTGTTTGCTTTTTAATCAAAATATTGATCTGTTTGTTAACTTCTTGGGAACATCAAGAGCTTGTGTTTATCAATAAATTAATCAAAGGCAGAAAGACAGTCTGCTTTCTGCCTAAAGAGAGTGAGTCTTTTCCTATTTACCTAAAGAAGTCCTGTATTTGAATTCTGTAATTCTCAGGGAGCTCAGTTAGATTTTTAAGAAAATAAAGTATAGGCCCAGTTTTAAACAAAACCCCAAAGAGCTATTTATAAGCCTTAACAGCACTTGGAATGTTTGTTTAGAATGCATCTGAAAGAGGCTAAAATGGTTTTCTAAGCTCTTAAGGTTAATGCTCTTTTATTATCTGTTTACAAATGAACTGCTTTGTGCAATGAATTTTCTAACGTTTTAGGTCAGATCCTATCAGAAACATYCAACTCTTCAAATACAGCAGAATTTCATTTATCTCAAGTGTCTCTCTTTCTCACTCAAATGAAATATTTCACTTTGATCACTGCTAATAGAAAAGACCTCATACCAAAATAGAATGGTTGATATTACAAGATCCAGAACAAAACTCTAAAAATAGCAGTACATATATTAAAAACCAACACCAAAAAAAGAAGCCAGCAATGAAAGGTAATATGATTCCTTACAACTTGAGTATATGATAACATAATATACTCTACATTCTTGCATTGCTTTTAGTTTTTTTAAATATATTCCCCAAGGAGGCAGCATCACCATTCCAGGTGGAATAATGTCTGTAACTTCATTAAAGATATAATCAGATTATAGGAGCACTTCCACATGTTCTCAATATTAACCTACTAGTTCTAGCTACAGGGAAGGTACTAGGTGGCAAGTCAATGTTTTTTTCATTTCTGGATTAATTCTGCAAACCCTTTGTTGGGAATTGTGCTGGAGTCTGCCAAGAAACTAGAAGTTTCAGCTGCCGTTTAAACTAGATGAAGTACCACAAGGATGCAGGAATAAACCTGGTGTTACCCTCCTTCCCAGCTTATACCGCACACACTAGCACCTTAGCAGCTCACAGGACTGGGATTAAAATGCAGATAAAAAAGGCTCCCCCACAATCCTTTCTGGGTGAAAAAAATACTCCCTAAGAGGCAGACTAGAAAAATTATCTAAAAATGACAGCTAGAGAATTTCTTGTTCAAGGTCAAAAGTAGTGAAACATTTCATTTTGACATTGCTCTCATAAACATTTCATAACATGACTTTGGCATGAAGCTCAGGCAGAATTGCCATTGTGTGATGAAGCTCTACTTTGAATGCTTGTCTCAATTTAGGATGAGATTCCGAAATAGGAAAAACAGAAATTCCAACTGTAATGAGGGAAGATATTTACAAAAAGTCACTTTCTGTAGAGTAACTATCCCCAAATCCCAACTTACTTCTGAGATTTTTTTCCTTTAGGCGTTTAAATGCATATGCTGTCAATTAACCCAGCCTGATTTTTTGTTGTAAGTAGCCATGCAGCAACACATTTAAGAAAAAGAACCATTTAAAAAGTCTTACCTCAATGTACTAAAGCTTCCTGATGGATCTTGTTTTTACAGACTCTCAGCCCATGAAGACACACAGTGCATTAACAGGACAGCAGAAGAAAGCTCTTCAGACGTTGCTTGGCCCTGCCAGAAAACAGTGGGAAGAACAGAAAACAAGTGGAGTCAAAAAGAAGGTCCGTTTAGGGGAGTGGAAACAAGACAGAAAGGAGATAAACCGTGATAAATATTTACACGTAACAAGCACACTGTGCTATAACAGACCAAAGGCTTTTGGCCAACAGCAAAGTGCCTAGGAAAGAGCACAAGAGAGTGGCAAGCATGCAGTAATAGTTCCCTTTCACGCCCTCCAGCAACGTGCAGCGCTCACTTCCTCAGTGATATCTTTGTGTTTAACACAAGTCTTTAATGCAGTTTTTTTTTCCCCAATCATCTGTCTAATCATTTTTGATCTGTATGTAACCTTGAGGGTAAGAGTATCCTATGACAAAGTTTCACATCCCGTGTCACATGAGATACTCCATCTTCTGCCTGCAACCTTAGCTTCATTTGATGCCTCCTTGCTCCTGCGTTAGATGTGAATGTGAACACACCTCCCTATCTGTTCTTTTTGCCACTCATGATTTAATTTATTCTCTCAAAACTCCCTCAGTCATTCTTCCCCAGCTGAAAAATCTTAAAACACTTACTCTAAAGAAGGCATTCATATGTCTGCTCATCTCAGTCATCTTACTAGTTTTTCACATATACCCTATCTGAAGAAAAAAAGAACTGGCCTGTGTTCCATTAATTTTCCAGTAATTCTTGAATTTCATTCAGCATTTTTTTAGCCAGTGGGCAACAGCAAGCTACCATTTTCACAGGATCATCTAACCTACCAGATACCTAGGATACCATTCTTAGGTGGTAATATCTCAGAAATCAGCACTGTACACTTAAAATTAAAGCTGTTCTCCCCATATACATTATGATACTCTTTCCTATGCTGAATTTCACTATCCTTTCTTCACACATCACAGAATGCAGGACATCTTTTTCTAACTTTCTGCAAAGAGCCTTACTATCTTGAATAACATCAGCAAACTTTATCATCTCACTATTCACCTCCCTTTCCAGGTAGGGGCTCTATGTATAGGAGTCTTAACTGCAAGCCAGAGCCCCACGACGTTCTGTTTGTGATATCTTCCACTGCCAGCATCACTTTTTCATTCCCAGACTTTGTTTCCTAACGTTAAAACAGACGGTATTTTTTACATACAGCTTTCTTCTGATATCCTTACATGAAAGTGGGGTTTATCCTTACGTGAAAGTGGGGAAACTTCAATAAAAGACTATGCAAAGGCCTTTCAGAAATCTAACTGGATCTTCTTGGTCAACATGTTGGTGACCAAGAACTTGAACAATTTATGAAGCTTTCACAAAGCCATACTGATTCCTCATAAGGATATTAGGCGGGTCAGGAGGACCCATAGTTCTGTTCTTAATTACAGCTTTTACCAAATAAGAAAATGAAGGTGCACCAAAATTCAATTGTATTCCAGTTTATGTAYGTGAGCAGTTAGGAAAGATGCAAGAGAGTAATTAAGACAGAAAACAAAAGGCTGGACTTCACTTAAGAAGCATTAAAGTGACTGAGTGTTTGCTGATTACACCACTTTAGTCCCTAAATTGTAGCAAACTTCAAACTAGCTGCCCTCTGCGGCATTCCTCTTTCTCATCCCATCTGAAATTTTCATGAGAGTTTAGGCAAGGGATCATTTAAATACCCGCTCATTTGGCTTTTCATCAGATTTTGTTAGAAACAAGCTGTTCTGAAAGCTAAATGAGGCCACGAGCTTCAGAACTGATCAGGAATTTCTGGATGCCTCCATTTGTGATTAATAACTTGAGATACTGTGAAAGAGCTGAATTAGTGCTCAGAGCGCATGCTGAACAGCAGCTTGTTTCAGTCTGGGCAGTCAAGAACAAATCACTCAAGCTCACTGGTCACCTCTAAAAATTGTCACCACTGCAAACAGAAATATTGCCACAGACAGGTGAGTGTGTTTGGCTTTTTTAATTGCAATTTAAAGACATTTTAATCAGTTCAAATTTCTAAATTTGTTTGAGGGACTGAGATCTCAGATTTCAACAAGAATTGAGTATCTTAAGAAGCTTTAAATTTAAGCTGTAAAATATATCAACCTGAGTTGAAAATGCCACATTAAACATGGATATAGTGACACAAACATCTCATGAAGAAGTCTGAAAGTCTGTTCCAGCTCCCTGGACTTCTATTGGAATCTCTGGGAGCTCGGCTAGAGAGCAGGTTGCAAAAGCAGGGATGAATAATGAATTAAGCTCTTCTCCATCTATCAAATGCTACCTTGGAAAGCTCAGGATTGYTCCTTCAGTGCTCTCAGAGGAGGACCGGGTCAAAATCCTACAGAGACAAGCCAGTAGGCAAGCAATCTGGGCAAGCAGTTTACTTAAGGCCTGTAAAATATGTTTATGTAGAACAAAACTGGTATATGAATGTATGAGGCTAGGATTCATGGAACCAGAATTTAAATTAYACTGTCAGCGCTTTCAGATGAGATACAGGCTTAGCAAAGTGGCCTAGATGAAGGTAGATTAAATTCCACCTAGCGTTCTGAATCTGGTATTTGCTGCAGGTTGGCTCTCAGACTTAAGAGGAACCGAGACAAGAAAAGCCCACCAGGCTTAAAAACTTGGACGACTTTTTGCACACGCAAGTTCTCAAAGTCCTTGTTCTTTCCATGGAAAACTGGGGAAGCGACGAACCTTCCCTGTGCTTTGGGAATAAGCATATTACTAGGTGAAAAGTGTTTTGATGCCGAAATGCTAAGGTATGTCTGCTCTGTTAGAGCATCAACATGCAAAGAAATACAGCACGATAATTTAGCATTACACATATACACACATCCTTGTGCCAAGCAAAAGCACCAACCTGAAAAGCTATTATTAATTACACTACTTGTTTCTTTTTCTTGGATAAATAATCAAGGGTCCGGAGAAATAGAATGAAAATACTACATTAACAACACCTGAAAACATTGCTGAAACAGTGCCCAAATCCAAATAATTGTTGGCTCCTTTTCAACAGTGTCATCTAGGAAAAAATTATCTGTGATTTTCTGCCCATAATTTTGTACTTGATTTCAACTACCAGCGTAAAATTGGAAGCCAGCCCTTTGGACATTTGGCCCTTTAAGTTATGAGCCCGAACTCAAGTTCATGCCAATGTTAGGCTCTTTCTAGAGCCTAAGCCCTGAAGTGATCTCCCGAACTGCACCAGTTCCCGGGACTGGGCAAAGAAGGTGGCTGTTGTTTCACCAGAACCAAACTGGAAGGCTTTGGAAGCAAAATGCACATACGCTGCAGCCCTCCACCAGGACAAGGTTTCATCTCTGGGCTTTCCCAGCTAAGCCAGGGTATAMAAGGAAAGCCAGAAAGAGCCACTTGATGCGTTTGCCTTCAGAACCCTCTACTCCTATCCCACCATCTGACTGTGGCCACCAAGAGGACAGCAGCACTGCAGGGTGTCCCCAAGATCCCCATCGTGCTGCTCAGCAGAATTTTAAAGCTGCAGGAATCACGTGGGGAATCRCACTCTGTTGTGAGTTAACAGTACACTTATTTTCATCCTCCCATGAATATTTCAGATATTCCTTCCCATACCCTACTCCAGAAGGGAAAGAAAGCAAGCTGCCCCACATCRAGAGGCTGATCTTCTAGGACACCTGGTGAGGCATCTACCCCCAGCCACCCACCTCATCCCTCTTCCAGATGCCAACCAAGTGCAGTATGTGCTTCCCCAGACACTGAGCAGCAAAGACCTTGTACTCTCAGACACCCAGGATAAATAAAGCAGTCTAAGTGTTAGAGGCAGGCAGAGATGAGAAATAGAACGGTTACCACTTTGGTAAAGAAAAAATCCAAACAGAAATAGGTATGGCAGCACATTTTTACAATACACACTTTTTTGTAGTATTTACAGAATACATAGAAAGTTGATCTGAAAATGGCTGTAATAAGAAATGAAGTATTYGACATATATGCAGTGAGATAAATTAAGTATGATTCTGTGAAAGTGCTCTGAAAGTCAGACAGAAAGCTCTGTTTAAAAACGTAGAATATCCTTTGTGGGTTTATTTTAAAAAATTACTTCTACTTGTCAAGAACAATTGCCCCCTTCTTTTAGTCTTCATTTATCTCTGAGGAAAATAAAATGAGCCAAACAGCAAAAAGAGTCCCAAGCACTGTGAACAGCTGAGCCAGGGACAAATTATGTAAAACAGATTGATGGCTGTTGATGTACAGCAGGGCTATCAAATCCCAGAGCTGCAGCTCATATTTCATTTAAAGGCCCATCTCTACTTTTCCAGAAAAAGCACAGTATTTACGGGAGGAGGCTGATTTGCAAGYGCTGGAGCTGCACTGAGGATCTAGATGCAATTTTTCCAATCTGGCTTTTTGGTGACCACCGTGAACTCTGACAACTGTAATCCAAATGAAAGAAAAACGAATACTAGAGTAAACTCAACTTTGAAACTGAACATGAATTTTTCAAGAAGTTATGCTGATTGGGCAAAGTTTTTYTGTCTTCATTTTTTTTCAAAAAAAATGAAGGAAATAATCTTTGCTTCTCTGCATCTCTGCTTTCACTAATCCCCCTGGTCCAACAGTGCACATCTTCATCTGCTCTCCTGGGGGCTCTCCCCATGCTCAGTCCTCTGTGGCATTCTCCCTTATAACAGTGTTCAGATGTTCTCTTCCTGCATTCAGTTTTCCTCTCAGCCTCTTGAAATCTTAATCTAAAGATTTTTAGCTTCACATCTATTAAATACATTGACTGGCCCAAGGAGAATATAACTTTTTCCATCAATGTCTGCTAAATATAAGATAAATGCTAAATCAATTCTTAGATTTCTAATGGATTAAGAATTAGAGCAGCCACTTAAAAACTGTCAATTTCCCTTGGAATATATGAGGTTTCCCCAGAAGCTGCAATAATCCTTTGTGCTTTCCTGTGCTTCCTACGGGGCATATCTGGAACACTATCAATACTGCAGGAATGGTATTTGGTTCAATCATGACAAAGCTAAAAGCCTAAAGTTGGGATT